TGTGGCACTCTTCCTGTTAGGAAGATAAAAGCCAAGGCAGGAAAGTTAGTCCTGTTGGGGGGGGGCGCTAAATAAGGTAAATAATGTCCTCTCTCACAGGAGTCCAGAAGTCCCCCAAAGTAAGGACCCAGAATAAAAAGAGTGTTGAAAGGTAACCTTCCAGAGCAGGTTATACTTGCTACATTTTGTGAACCCGTAATTCTTTCATGTGGGATACCCAGTCTAGCCAAATGTAATATTTTTTTTTAAGAGCATTCCACTGGGAGTTGTTGTTTAAAGCTACTGTTGTGCCGTGGTAGGTATGTGTGTTGTTGGCATTTCCTCTTCCCCAGCTATCTCTGCAGAGGCTGTTGGCCTCCTGCATTGGAATGTAGCAATCCCTGGAAAACACAGGCCTTGAGGAACATTTTAGTATGTTGGTCTCTCTGTCATGACTGGGGACTTAGTATAGGCCAGAGAATCCCTATATAGTTCTTGGGGCCACAGCATAGTGTTATGGCCCAACAGTCATTGGGTGGCCCAGGTTATGAATCCAGGTGCTTCTAGACATCAAAGTCAAGGCAGGCAGTAGCTTGAGTTTCCACATGCCATTAAAAGCTATCATGATGATTCTTGTCTATGGTTGTCTACTAGGTTTCCTGATGAGCTTCAAAATAAATGTCTGTGCTTGCATTCTATCTGTTCCTTCCTAGAGTGGGGTCTGGATGTCAGGGCTTTTCATGTGATACCATACATCTTGTGGCCGGGGATGACAATCCCTAGTCAATAGCACCGAGGGCTATCTAATTTAGTGATAGTGGGGACAGTCCATTCAGTTTGTCTATGAACCTTGATATGGCAGACTTGAGAAAAAATCAGGAAGGGCAGTCTCAGTGGAACTAACTGCTAGGTTGTGAAAATACCTGATAACATGGGGACAGACATTAGACTGCTGGGAAGGGGGCTTAGGGAAAAGAAAGGAGGACAGGGAAATATACTGAGGGCCGGTGAGTACTTAAGGGTAAGATTGTGGGTAGGGGACAAAAGTAACATATACATTCTTTTGATATAAATTGTACACATTTATGAGACAACAGAGGATCTTATCCCTGTGCCTGTGCAGATCAGGTGAGTGTTAAAGACTCCCAGGGAGTCCCTAGATGATGAGACTAAGACCCAAGGAGGGGGAAAGGTGGCCCTTTCTAGGACTATCCCACAGACTGAGAACGTTATGTAGCTGTTTCTCTTATGTCCTCATCCTTGTCATGTCTCTGCTTGAATGTAAGGTCCCATGAGGACCAGGAGCTGCCAGGTAAAATACAGATCATCTGTCCCCTTGTCCATCCCTCCGCTGCCCTCTTCTTACCCAGTGAAAGGAAGGCTGTATGTGGAACCCCCAAGAAAAGATGCCCCGAGAAAAACCTTTCCCCAAACTAAAAGAGAATGTGTGTGTTTGTGAGTGCGTGCGTGTGTGCATGTGCGTGTGTGAAGGATTTCCACCAGAGTGACATCTCCAGCTCTAAAACCTTGCATTTCAGCTGGCTGCTACCTGATTTCCACACACTGCATGGGGAGAATAACTGGCTTTGAAAGCACTGGTGATTTGAGCTGGCTTTGGCCACCCATTGAGTGCTTCCCCAAAAACCCAGCCTTTCATTAGAGTTGAGAGCCAACTGTTATGGAAGGAGTGTTCTGCACTTGAGCCTCTTTCTGCAATGCCCATCACAGCCCCTCTCCACTTTACACTCTCTGAGGTATCTGAGTGAGCAAACTCAAGTTTTTGTCTCCGAGGAGAGAGGGTGGGGGAAGAGAGAGAAGCTGGCTCTCTTGCAGGTTGTGCAGTGCTACTCAGAGACAGTTTCATTTAGGCTATAAAATCTGTGAGTTGTTCTTGGCAAAGGTTCTAATGAAATGGAAACCTTGAGATCTGCTTAGAGCTGGAAGTGTGGTCTTATACTGCATGTTGGGAAGGACTCCGGGCTGTAGGTGATCTGAGGAGTTGATTTCTTCTCCAAGCACTGTGGAACTTACCTATCTCTCATTTGGCTTGAGGAAGAGGGCCCTGGGCTTGAGATGAGAGAAGCTACAGCACTTTGCAGAGGACAGTGTTCCTCAAACTGCCTACCAGACTATAAGTGTCTGTTACTGTTGAGGGACTTGCTAGAAAGGCACACTGTTGAACCCTACTCAACACCTCCAGGGGATTCTGCTACACAGGGCTTTGAACCCCTAGCTCAGTATGTGGTTGTCGTTTCCTTGTTTGAGATGTGCACAAATAACAGAGGTCAACCCTGGGTATCTTTCCTTAAATCCTGTGTACCTTGCTTTTTTATGCGTCACGATCCCTCTCTGGCCTGAAATATAACAAGTGGGCTGGACTGACTGGCTAGTGAGCCTTGGGGACACTCCTGTCTCTGCCTCTTCCCCAGTGTTGGGGTAATAAGCATGTGCCACCATGCCTGGCTTTCATGCTTGTATGGAAAGCTCTTTATCAACTGAAGCGTCTCCTCATCCTTGTCCCGGCTTTAGCTATGGAAGGGGGAATGTGTGTGTGTGTGTGTGTGTGTCTCTCTCTCTCTCTCTCTCTCTCTCTCTCTCTCTCTCTCTCTCTCTCTCTCTCTCTCTCTCTCTCTCTCTCCTGTGTCTATGTCTGTGTGTGTCCCTCAGGTGGGTCTGCCTCATCTGAATCTGTGCTGGCCAAGGCAGTCCTGGGCTGTGTGGCTCAGGAGAGGGGATGCTGCATGGACCAGTGTTTGGAGAGGGCCCTTTCCACTTTGGCAGCTTCAGCTTCATGTGAGAGGTTTTTCTTATTTTTGCTGACTGTGTATAAGGAGGGGCACACAGCAGGTACCTCAGGCAGGGAGAGCAAGCTCTTTCAGTGCAGTCAGCATTTCTTCCAGAGAAAGTCCTCTGCATAGCCCCACCCCCAACTAATATTTATTAAAATGACAAATTAAGCTTGGCATGGTAGTGCACATTTTAATTCCAGCACTCTAGAGACTGAGGTAGGTGGTTTCTGTGAGTTCTAGGCCAGCCAGTGTGACATAGGGAGACCGTGTCTCCAAGAAAGAGAGAGAGAGAGAGAGAGAGAGAGAGAGAGAGAGAGAGAGAGAAGAGAGAGAGAGAGAGAAATGACAAATTAGAAAGTCCTACTTTTTAAGCTTTTCATTTGACTTATAAATCTTATTGAATAGAAAGTATTTGTACTCACTTTTAAGAGGCTTTTGAGTTATATTTAGGCTCATTTACAAATGTGTTTTTTTTTCACTGTTAAATATCTAGCACTGTCTTAGAAATTTAACACATTCAATTTCACTTTCAAGTTCTTTTGGCCATCTGAAATCAAGTTTTCACTAGAGTATGAGATTACACAAGCCATTCTTCTTAGCCTAACAGCCTGGTCTCACAGATACAGGAAGGCCTGAGCTCTCTCCTCATACTCTGATACGGCTTTTAAGATGAACATTTATAATCAGAATAAAATAATCAAATCCATCAGATACTCTCTCAGCTTCTCTTAAATGTTGCAAGTTTAGGGTGGAAATTTGCATGTCTCCACGCCCTAGTCATTAATACTACACAAGGGACTGGTTCTTTTGTCTTGGTGTTTAGTTCTAAATATCCTTAAGGAAGGACAAGATACATTTTCCCATTAGGAATATAATGTTCTGGCCCTACAGTTTGAAGGTTGCCTCCACAGTTGATCACCATACTACCACCCCCTTTCGAATTTTGGAGATAGGTTCTGACTTATTCCAGGCTAGCCTCAAACTCTTGATCCCCTGCCTCATTTTGGAAGAGCTGGAATTATGACTGGGTACCACCACACCTAGTTCAAATAGACTCTATTGAGATTTATTTAATGTGTATCGATGTTTTGTTTGCATGCATGTCTATGCACCACATATATGCTTTGACTAAGGAGGCCAGAAAAAGGAGTTAGAGCCCCTAGAACCAGAGTTAAAAGACAGTTATGAGCTACCACATAGGTGCTGGGAGATGAGCCCAATCCTTGCAAGAGCAGTAAGTGCTCATAATGCCTTAGCTGAGGTGAGCCATCTCTCCATCACCTCAAATGGATTTGTAAGAGGGTAGTTTTAGTGCTTCAAATATAGCTTGGTTGTAGAGTACTTTTCTAGCAGGGCTTAGGTTCAACCCCTAGCATATTATCTCTTTCTCTCCTCTCTTTCTCTTTCTCTCTCTCTCTCTCTCTCCTCCCTCTCTCTCTATCTGCCTTTCTCTCTCTTCTCTTCCCCCCCACCCCGTGTGTGTGTGATGTGTGTATGTGGTGTGTGTGTGTGTGTGTGTGTGTGTGTGTGTGTGTGTGAGAGAGAGAGAGAGAGAGAGAGAGAGAGAGAGAGAGAGAGATTATAAATGACATAGGGCTAGCAAGATGGCTTAGTGGGTAAAGATGTTTGCCACCAAGGCTGATAAGTTTGATCCCTGAGAACATAGTAGAAGGAAAGAACTGACTCCCAAAAGTTGTCCCCTAAACTCCTCATGCACACTATGTTGCACATAATTATGTCTGTGTGTGCATGTATGTGCATGTGCAAATGTGTACACACACACACACACACACACACACACACAAACATCTGAGCAAATGATAGTAAAGTGGTCCATCTTCCCTGAAAGTCGACTTGGAAAATAAATACACAGGCATCCCACAGCAGTTTTAACCCCACTTTGCTGGTTTCATGCCAAGTTGACACAGGCTAGAGTCATTTGGGAAGAGGGACTCTCAACTGAGAAAATCACCTCATCAGATTGACCTGTAGGGCATTTTCTTAATTACTGACTGATGGGGGAGGGGCAACCCATTGTGGGTGGTGCCACCCCTAGGCTGTTGGTCCTGGGTTCTATAAGAAAGCAGGCTGAGCAAGCTAGTAAGCAGCTCCCCTGCATCTTAGTCTCCCCATCAGTTCCTGCTGACTTCTCTTGATGATGCTGTGATCTGCAAGGTGAAATAAGCCCTTTCCTTTGCAAGTTGTTTTTGGTCCTGGTGTTTTATCACAGCCATGGAAGTCTTAACTAAGACACCTGCCCATCCAAACCTCCCAAAACAACCACTCAATGGGAGATCTTTAGGTGAGGTGGTGACTCACTGTGGGGTTCTACAGCAAATAGAAAGAAAGCACAAGCCCAGACAAGTGGCAAACAAAAGCACAGTCAACTGGGGCCAGAAGCATGAGTGAATGAGAATGACCAATGTTTCGTTCTCTCCTTTCTGGGTAGGTTGGCCTCATCCAGCTCGAGAAGGAGCAGGTGTTCATCCAGCCCCTCAACAACTCAGGAGGCCCATTCAGCGGAAGAGAGCATCTGATCAGGCGCAAATGGTCCTCTGCCTCCAGCCAGTCTACCTCTGTGGAGGAGCCCAGGCAGCACTGCAAAGTAGTGACAGGTGAGTCTAGGCAGCGGAGGGGATGGAATGGAGCTGACACTCTGTGGGCTCACGTGCACACAGAGTCGTATGTGAGAACTCCCCTTTTTTAACAGCCACGTGTCACATGATGGCAGGGATATAGTGCCGAGGATTTTATTAGTCAATTCCTTACTGCTTGAAGTGATCATAGAGTGATGCTTTTAGATTAAGATGACCACAGTGTCACCTGCTGATAGAATCTTATAGGACCACAGCTGCATTTATCACCTATTGGTTTCTCCATTTTTTATTTATATTAGAAACAAGATTGTTTTACATGTCAATCCCAGTTCCCTCTCCCTCCCCCCTCCCCTGCCCCCCACTAACACCCTATCCCCTACCATTTCTGCTCCCGCCGGAGAGTGAGGTCTTCCATGGGGGCATCTTCAGAGTCTGTCATATCCTTTGGGATAGGGCCTAGGCCCACCCCAGTGTGTCTATGCTGAGGGAGTATTCCTCTATGTTAAATGGGATCCCAAAGTCCATTCCTATGCTAGGGATAAGTACTGATCCACTACAAGAGGCCCTATAGATTTCTGAGGCCTCCTCACTGACACACACATTCATGGGGTCTGGATCACTTCCATGCTGGTTTCCCATTGTTAATAGAAATTGTTATTGGCATATGTGGATATTTTAGAAGCTGCTCTATTGGCCCCAAAGTCACCTCCTTTCTGTGTATATTTGTGTTGACATTTCATGTGTTACTGCCCTTTGCAAAATTTTATTTCTACAAGGAACCCAGGATCTCATTGGAACAGAGCCTTAGTTTTCTTTTTTTCTTTTTTCTTTTTTTGTCCAAGATAGGGTTTCTCTGTGTAGCTCTGTTTGCCTTAGAACTCACTCTGTAAACCAGGCTGGCCTTGAATCACAGATTCCCCCTAACTCTGCCTCCCTAGTGTTGGGATTAAAGATGTACCCTCATGCTCAACTTCAGAGCCTTAGCTTTAGGCCAGAACACCTTATTACCAAGTACCAGGTTGGCAGCATAGCTGGGATACAACTTTCCCTGAAGAGGCCATACTCTGAGCTTGCTTGCTTTTTCAGCCTTGGATACTGTCGTGAGAGTTGCCTGAGCAACTTATGAAACCTGGGCCAGCAGCATAGGCATCACCTGGGAACTTTTCAATACATAACATCCTCCAGCCTCATGTCAGACCTGCAGGATCTAGAGTGTCACAGCCTGGTCTAGTCACCGAGGATTCAGATACACGATCACGTGTGAAAACCACTGCTTAAAAAGTGCCATTTTGGGAACTGGAGAGATGGCTCAGTCAGTAAAATATATGGCACACAATCATAAGGACCTAGAACCATACAGAGGGCAGCGTATGGAGGCACATGTCTATAATCCCAGCACTGGGGAGCAGGGACAAGTGCCTTCCCAGAGATAGTTGGCCAGCTAGCACTGCTGAATTGGTGAGTACCAGGTTCAGTGAGCAAATGTCTCAGAAAATAAGGGGGTGACTGAGATAGTTGCCTGATGTTGACCTCCAGCCTTCATGCACATGCAAACACATGGGAAGCAGACATACACACCCAGACATACACACCCCTTCCCCCAGTGTCGATACTTAGCCGTTTTCTCATATCCCAAGCTAATAGGCCTGGGGTGTGACTTAAGGGTTTTAAAAAAAAATGACATGTAATTTGGGTTGGGAACTCTCTGTTTTCAGCTTTGCACCTCTAATTGAACAACTGTGGGTTGTCAGGTATTTAAGACTATTTCATGGTCCTGTATCACTAGGAGTGTGCTTGAAAATGTTCCCTGGCACAGTTGGACAACCTGCATTGTCCAGGTAGCATTTCTTCCTGGGCTGGGACCTGCTTTTATACTTCTGGGTTTATCTTTCTATTGAGATGGAATGGACTCAGTTTAGTGCTCTAGTGACCTTGGAAATACGTCAAGATGGTTTTACAGTGCAGCTCAGCCACTACCATAGGCTTGCTACTGTTACTCTTCTTTGTCTTTCTGTCTGTGGCAGGGATGGTTAGCAGTCACCACGATGAATAAATCCAAGGAGAAAGAATGCTGCCCCAATTACAGAGTTTTCTTAATTGCTGTCAACACCCTTAACAAAAGGTGTTGGGGGGGATCGTGAACACAGACCTCAGCATAAAATTAATAGTCACTAAAATATCCTTTAATGGGATTCAGGGGCTTTTGACTCACGGGTATGATATTGGTAGATTGGTTTCTTTGGATTATTTTCCCCCTGTTGGCTGCTTTATAATGAACATGGGTTCAGAGGCTGTGACTTTGCTACAAATATAGTCCTGTTGGTGTGTTGGCATCACCTGGCTACCCATATCTACTTTGCTATAGCTTGTCTGGAGTATAACCTGGACATCTGACCACACAACAATCCCCAGGTGGTCCTAACATTTGCCTGGTGGTGAACACCACCCACTAGCAGAGGTGTTCAACCCTCTGATGTTGGGAAATGTTGTTGTTAATCTGTAAGCGTGTGGAGAACATCTGTAGTTATCCTGGGATGCATGTGGCCTGCAGGTTGGATGCTCTGCAGAGAATACTCGATGGGAAAGCAGTGTCTTTGGGCCATTGAGAGTGGATTTCTCGAATGAGAACCTTCATACAGAGCCACACAATGACGCAAAGGGCAGATGGGTTTTATTCTTCTCACTCAAGCCAGCGCCCCATCAGCTGCCAGTCTATGACCTGCCGCCCAGCATGTCTGCCAATGAGCTAATGGGATGTTTATCTGATGACCTGCTGCCATCCTCTCTGAGGGAGTGACAGCTAGAATTGCTGAGCAAATAACAAATGGTGCTTGTGTTTGATTTTTGTGCTCGCAGCTGGTTTTGGAACACACTTTGGACTGTTTAGCCATTAGTGGAGGAAATAAAATGAGTAGTCAGGGAGGGGTAGATGTGGGTAGAAACTGAGAGCTTCTATACAGGCTGTAGGGAAATCTCTGAGTTTGCCTAAAAAATGATCTTTCCTTCCTTTCTCCCGTGGCACGAATAGGTAGCACAGATGGAACGAAAGCCTCTGGAGGTAGGGCCTGACACTGAAGACAGAAACATACCTTGCTTTTGGTCCTTCTGTTTTACCTGATATCCTCAGTCCATGCTTCTACCATGTTGAGAAAGATGCTGGGCCTTTTACTGGGCTTAACTAATGAGGCTTTTCTCATTTGGATTAGCTTTCCAACCCTGGACTATGGAACTCTGGGAAAATGAACTTCCTGGAACACTAGTAAAGCACATTCTTGAAGTTTCCTGTAAAGGTTAACCAGATAAGTCCCAGGGTAGCATGATCTGTCTAGCATGATCTGTCTAGCTGAGTAAAGCGGCTCTAGGTTAACTGAGCCTTGTTATTGCCCCTTTATTACTTGGTCTTTAGGCCTGACCTCAGAGTGTCCTGACTGGCTGGCTCCTTCAGGTGAGGAAGAATCTAACAAGTCTTCCCTGAGTCACTGAACCTACCTGGAAGATGAATATTAGTCACGATCTAGTAGCTTGTGTCTGGATAGGGTAGGGACTGGATGGACCAACACAGCCAAGGCCCCCAGGGGAGGAAGAATGTCCTTCCCAGAGATGCTACTGAGCTTGCATTTCTGGGGAACTTTGTGGGCTCCTGGTGAAGGGACAGGCTGATCCTTTTCCCTCCCAGGCATTTCTTTTTAGAACTCCATAAACTGATCCATGAAATAAAACACTAGTTTGCAGCATGGCAAGACAATATGGAGTCTATAAAGTTTTTATTTTGGGTGCAACAGTAAAGACCTTTTGGTTATTTATTTTTTTTTGACAGTTAAAATGGTACTTCAGATATGTTGAAATGCTCCTTGAATTTTAAGGGGTCATTTTGACCTCAAAACTCTGTCTCTCTTCTATGTTTGTTTTCATTTCTCTGTATTCAATCTAGAATCTTACACTGCTGTCTTAATGGCATCAAGTACCAATTTGATTTGGTTGCTGTGGTTGGTGTCATGTGCAGGTAGTAGCAGTTAAAAAAAATGACAAGTTTGCAATGAGTAATTTTAAAAAATTGGAATTCCATCACAGTTTTTTATTTAAATTCTTTAATTACTACTCATATTTATATATCTATCCCTCCTCCATTACTGTTTTGAGTGATGGTGAGATCATTAGAATATAAATCTGCCCCAGAGTCAGGTCTACACAGCACTGAGGTATGTTTACAAAAATTCTGTTACAACTGCTTTGTGAAATTTAGTTGTTTTCTAGTACCATCTAGTGCATATATAGTAATATAAAGTCAGTTTGATGAATATCTAAAAGATACTGTAACTTTTTAGAAATTGTATTGCTAATTTATATAAAATTTGCATGTCTAATCATGCATATATATGCTAATACATAGCTGGCCAGGACTTGGGCTTTATCTTAACTAAGATTCATTAGTTAGAAACAGAAGCAATCAGACTGGCTTAAACACTAGAAACACTGGCCTGGGCTCACAGAATTGATGGGTGAAGCAGGTTGAACTTCAAGTTAGGTTTGACCTACCTTATCTTTATATAATCGCTTAGTCCCCACCTCTCCCTACTCAACTGACAGAGGCAGCTCCAGTGAGGGGAAGGTCTTCTACTGAATTGAGATTTGAGGTAGGCTGGCTTGGGTTACTGTCAGTTTACCACAGCTTTCAGATGGGTGGAGTCAAGATCAGATCTGCTTTTGAAAGAGAGTGCCAGTCCCCAGGTGACTGTGGGGTACCACTCCACCTGCTATCCTGCTTCCTGTAGGCCACCACACTCCAGGCTAAAATGTGGTGGTGTGGATTTACGACACACTCACCTGGGCCTAACCTATCTTTCTAGCCCCAAACTTAATGTGGCAGCTCCCTTCCTATTTCTACAGTGAACAATTGAAACTGATAACTCCTCATTCCACTGTGACCAGAGAGAAGGGTAACAGTTGAGCTTTGCTCATTTAGGAAAGGCTTAATCCCTCTAGGATTGCTTCCTCTAGACTACTGGTTCTCAACCCGG